ACCCTTCTTGCCATTACTCCAAGATATCCGTGCCCTTCGTCTCCTGATCCTCAACACCTGGTTCAGCGGTTCTCAAATCGTGTCTCCCTTGTGCTTCGGGAAGGGGGGGGGGGGTAGGGTTTAGGGGTGAGGGTTTAGGGTTTAGGGCTTAGGCCAAAAGTTTGTTCCCAGAACAGAGAACAGGATTATAGTACTTTGAGGTATCTAGGGCCCCTGTTTTGGGAGATGTCTGTTTTGGTCGTGGCTCTTCCCAGTAGATGCTCATCATTATGATGTGGTAGTTCTCTGAATTGAGATCCCTTTGTGGGTCCTGATTATTTGGGTGCCGTACTATATAGAAAAAATATGTATGATATAGGACCCCCCAAAAAGGGGAGCCTAATTTAGGTTTTCTCGAAAGCCCAAACCCGAGGCCTAAACCCTGAACGCTAAACCCTAAACCCCTAAACCCAAAACCCTAAACCCCAAACCCCAAACCCGAAACCCAACAAACCTTAAGCCCTAAACCCTATACCCTAAACCCTAAATCCTAAACCCTAAACCCTAAACCCTAAACCCTAAACCCTAAACCCCCTCTAAATGGCCTGGCTGGAAGAGCCGCGAGTCGCCCCTCAGGCGATGCTCAATTACAAGACCCCAGCGCCTTGGGCGACTTCAGGAATGAAGGTTTAGGGTTTAGGGCTAGGGTTTAGGGTTTAGGGTTTAGGGTTTAGGGTTTAGGGCTTAGGGCTTAGGGCTTAGGGCTTAGGGCTTAGGGCTTAGGGCTTAGGGCTTAGGGCTAGGGTTTAAGGATTATTAGGGTTGAGGGCTAGGGTTGGGTTTAGGGCTTTGGGCTTTAGGGTTTAGGGGGTTAGGGGTTTCGGGTCTAGGGTTTCAGCTGATTTGGTGCAGAGTTTCGGTTCGACAAATAAACTGGTTCAGGGTTTCGGGCTCAAGGGTTACGAAGGGTTTAGGGTTTAGGGGTTAGGGTCTATAGGGGTTAGGGGTTAGGGTTTAGGGTTCAGGGTTTTGGGCTCAAGGGTCAGGGCTCAAAAGGGTTGAGGGATTACCTTCAAGCACCCAATAACCTACTGTTGCGTAGGTTCTTCTTCCAGGATTCTTAGGTCAACAAAGGGGTTTTAGGATTTAGCGTGTAGGGTTTAGGGTTGAGCGTCGTTTGCTGGGCTTTGTTGGGCCTAACCTCTAAAGCCCGAAGCCCGAAACGCGAAGCCCCACTCGACCACCAGTGGGAATTTCAGCTGCTTCGGTGCAGAGTTTTGGCTGTCGGGCTTTCTGGCTTAGGGGGAGCTGTGATTGTCGATTCAAACTTCGCAGAGGAGTGGGTGGTGGTGGGGGGGGGGGGGGTGGGGGTGCGGTTTTTAGTTTGGTCTTAGGGTTGAGGGCACAGGAAGGGTTTAGGGTTTAGGGTTTAGGGTTTAGGGTTTAGGGCTTTAGTTCTCTTCACAAGCCTTCGGACACAAGTCTCTCTGGGCGCCCCCGGTTCCCTTAGTGAAGGGGGTTCTTTTGTGGAGGGTGCCCCAAAGACCCTGAGCGCTAAAAGGAATGTCATCAAGTTGGCACGTGGATGAACAACTTCTCCGAGCACAAGCGACACCTGTCCGCTGAAGGGGAGTCGGCCGGTTTAGGATAAAACCCTAAACCCTAAACCCTAAACCCTAAACCCCTATTTTACCTGGCAGGGTTGCTGACATCAGGATTTAGGGCTGGCTTCGGGTTTGCTGTTCGATCTGCGGTTCATGCGCAGGACCGAGGGTGCAACTTAATTTGCATAGGACTGGGAGGAGAAGAAGGGGAGGGGTGCACATGTACCCACATGTCCACCGCCCCTTAAACCCCCTTTTGCAACCACCCTGAACCCTAAACCCTAAACCCTAAACCAACAACCCTAAACCCTAAACCCTAAACTCAAAACCCTAAACCCTAAAGCAAAAACCCCGGCGGCTGCAATCCTGTTTAGGGTTTAGGGTTTAGGGTTTTAGGTTTTCGGGTTATTCGGGTTTAGGGTTTAGGGATCCTACACCCCGTCAGAGTCCCACAACTGCGGCAATCGAGAGGTTGTTCGTAGCGGCATTCTAGCGCCGTTTATCAGGGAAGCTACTTCCATAAGCCCGGCCTTCGTATCAAGTCCTGAGAAAAGCGAGATAGGGAACTAGGGCCCTGAACCCGGGGGCACTCCACTTCATTTTCGCAAAGCTGAAGAGAATGTCAATGATAATGTCAGGAGATGTTCGGCTGTACTGTACTGTAGAGTAGAAAAGTGTCAGGCACCTGTTTTGTTAACCACCTCTTGCGAACCGGTAACTTGTTAGTTTTTTTGCTATCTGACCCAACCTCTTAACACAGGAGCCTACACAAACTAAAAGCATTTCAGTTGCTGTTCTATGTACGTAGCCAGAGGCCCGTTACGTGTGTGTAACGAGTGGCTCCAGTTGGCAGGCAGCACAGCTATGAACGATTGGCTCCACTTGACCATGTCGCGTTGCCGTGGTCTAGGGATGGGGGCTTAAGGCTCCCTAAACCCTCAATCCTAAGCTCTAAACCCTAAGCCCTAGCACGGGACATCGCCACGAGGCAGAGCCTGACTAAGCAATGCGTCTAGGTTTGCGATGGACAAGCTTCGCTCGCAGAAGTGTGTCGAAGCCTGAAACCGTCAGGTTTAGGGTTCAGGGTTTTGGGTTTAGGGTTTAGAGTTTAGGCTCCACAAAGTTTCCCGAACAAAGTCTACCTGGAACCCTGTTTACCTACAGTTTTTATGGGTGATGCCTACTAATTAAGGGTAGTTCACCCTAAACGCTAAACCCTAAACCCTAAACAGAGTCTAGGTCCCTAATTGGAAGCGGCCCCATCACTGGGAATAACCTGCATTCAACAGTACGTACTCTTGCAAAGGGGAACCCGAAATCCCTAAACCCGAAACCCTAAACCCTAAACCCTAAACCCAGCTCGGAGCGTACCGAGGATTCGTGTCGCACAAGATCGGGAACGACACGCGGTGGAAGACTCCTGGATTGAGCTTGAGGTATTCTATAGGATTGGTTCAGGGTTTAGGGTTCAGGGTTTAGAGTGTAGGTTGTAGCGTGTAGGGTGTAGGGTGTAGGGTTTTGAAAAATGGGTTTAGGTTTAGGGGCTTCAGAACAAAATGCTATTCTTATAGTTTTGGAAAAAGGGCAGTATATTTGCCCCATATACCTGAATAGGCTTTCTAGGTAGTATAGGGCATTTGACCCCAGTTTTCGGGTTCATTTGCTCCCCAAGGTCGGTGTGAAGCATGAACCCTTACTATGGTCTGCTACGGGCCCTTGGTCTTTTTGCTGGGGCAAGACACAGGAATCCTTAACGGTATATGGGGTTTTCGAATAAAGGGTACCCTTTTTGGGGCTCTGTTGAAAAGATTCTAGTTTTTCGGGGTACAATTTTGGGTACCCTTATTCTCGGAAATCCCCATATGGTGTGTCTAGAAGAGGTACACGAAGAGGGCTAACAGTGAGGTTTGGTGACTGTACGAAGGGGTTCCTTGTCTGGTGAGTGTAGATGTGAGTGTCTTGTTGGCGATACGAGCACGAAGAAGCCCTAAACCCTAACCCCAAACCCTAAACCCTAAACCCTAAACCCTACCTAATTCATTTATGACCCGAAGTTTGAGGCCGGGGGTGGTGTGCTTAGAGCTTGCATGCTTTGTGGTTGGAGACTGAAAGGCAGTCGGGGCATACAGCGCATGTCCAGAGATCAAAGCTTCGAGGTTGAGGGCTTATTCAAACGGGTTTAGGGTTTAGGGTTTAGGGTTTAGGGTTTAGGGTTTAGGGTTTAGGGCAAGTTTAGGGTATGTGGTCCTGGTTCAAAGAAGGGTGCAGCGAGCTCCAAAAGCTTCGGGGGCCTATGGTAGAAAGGTCAGCGGAGTCACAATGGTCAGGGTTTGGGTTCAGACACATAAACCCTAGAGTTTCGGGTGTTTGCGTCAACCCTTTGACCCAACAAAGCTAAGCCCTAGGATTTTACAAGCTCTCCAACCTTAAACCCCCTTTAAGGCCCTCTCATGGGGGCTTACTTGGGCCCCGAAAATACTCACTACACACACCCCTTCCCTTGCGGTTTGCAGCATCTGCAAAAAGGAGTACATCCAGCCAACACTTTGTAAACTATCTGCGAAAACCTCGATAAAGGTTGAGGGTTTAGGGTTGGCGCAGTTGGCACTCCTAAATGTTCATTGTATTCTCGTGCTTCCCAATTTGCCGTTACAAAGTTAACCCCAAACCCTTAAAAAAAACACTAAACACCTAATCCTAAACCCCTAACCCGAAACCCTAAACCCTAAACCCTAAACCCTGAACCCTAACCCTAAACCTTAAACCCTGAACCCTGAACCCTAAAACCCTCTGCCAAGGCCACCTCTGAATGCCAAGCTCCCAGGCCGCCAGGGGCCGAAGGGCTTAGGTTTACGGTTTTTTCGTGTGTAGGGTTTAGGGTTTAGGGCGCAGGGTCCAGGGCCCAGGGTCTAGCAATTTGGGAGTCGGGAGAGTATGGGACATGTAGGGTTGAGGGTTTCTAACGTCATGAACCAGACGTTTTTACTTGGTTGAGTGCTTGGCTTTTTCGGGCTTGTAGGATGGGATGTTCTCCCTCATACTAACAGCCCTTAATCGGGGTCTACGAGAGAACATCCCAACTTGGGGATAAGCCCCTTCGTGTCAGCATGTCCCTCAGTGGCTTTGAAAGGGCTGAGGGATCGGAGATGTGGAGATATGTCTGGCAGATGTTTTCATGCAATTGGATCTGATTGTAGGGGTTTAATTCGGCTTGAGGGTTTAGAGTTCAGGGTTCAGGGTTCAGAGGGTTTAGGGTTTAGGGTTTAGGGTTTAGGGTTTAGGGTTTAGGGTTTAGGGTTTAGGGTTTAGGGTTTAGGGTTTAGGGTTTAGGGTTTAGGGTGCTGAGAACTGCGGCTTGACAGCTCAAGCCCTTGTTAGGGGCGACCGAACTCTACGCACTCGACGTACTCCCTCAGCATGGGGAGGCATTTCATGGCGTGGGCATCCTTGGCGTTGCTCTCGGCGCTGGCTCGGGGGGAGGTGTGCGCCGAATGCAGAGGCTTGGCCTTCTTCCGGCTGGCTGTAAGGACTTTAAACCTTTTTTTGGTTTTTTTTGGTGGAAACTGCAATCAGGAGCCGAAAAGGGTGTTTGTAGAGACTGCAATGGCAATAAGGAGCCTAAAAGGTTAAACGCTTCTAGTAGGTCTAGGGTTTAGGGTTTAGGGTTTAGGGTTTAGGGTTTAGGGTTCAGAAGTCAGCCAAGGAGATGACGACCTGATTCCAGATTTCTCCTTTCTCCAGGTGGGCAGTTCTCCTTAGGGTTTAGGGTTTAGGGTTTAGGGTTTAGGGTGCTGCATGTTTGGGGCCCCCTGTTGACTACGGCACCCTTGTCAAAAAGGACCCCAAAGATGGGACCCTGGTTTAAAGCCTTATAAGCTCTACTTGGAGTTTAGGGTTTAAGGTTTAGGGTGTAGGGTTTAGGGCTATAAGTACCCTAAATGGGGTTATAGGTATAGTTACCCTAATGATAACCCTGCATATAACGACCCATGAACCTCCAAGTACACAGGTGAATCAGAACATCACGCGGAGCAACGGCTCGAACAGCAGTCTGGCGAGAACGCTGGCGGGCGCGTCGCCGTCGGTGGTGGTGGCTACGCCGCCTGCCGGCCCCAGCGAGGTCACTTTGTCATAGTGGGGTAACATTTTACATCTTTAAGGGTACTTAAACTCAATTTAAGGAATACAAGTTTACATTTTTAATACTATCCCAACCATGACATAGGTCATGTCTCTCACATTCACAAAGAGCTCCGTGCACTCGGAGACCACGAACGCGGGGACCGTGCTGCTGGACCTGGTCATTCTTGTCCTGATGCTCATTCTCATGGGGCTCTGTTGCAGCCGCTTCATCCTCGTCAGTACCTCGGGGACCACATGAACCCTTAAAAGGGATTTATGGTTCATAAACCCTACTAGGGATTCTAGTGTTTAGGGTTTTAGGGCCCATATACCTCAATAGTAGGGGCTACAGTAGTATACATGGTAGTATCGAGTCTCTGACCCTAAACCCTAAACCCTAAACCCTAAACCCTAAACCCTAAACCCCTAAACCCTAAACCCCCCCCAAATTGAGGGTTCATGTGGTCCCCAAGGTACTCCAGATCAGGCCTCGAGAGGCCCGAGCCCAGGCAGCCCCAGCAAGGCCAGGGATATCGAAACTTTAAACCCTGTAAACCCTATAAACCCTATAAACCCTATAAACCCTATAAACCCTATAAACCCTATAAACCCTATAAACCCTATAAACCCTATAAACCCTATAAACCCTAAACCCTAAGCCCTGAACCCTGAACCCTAAACCCTTGCCCTGGCAAGGCCAAGGATCCCAATGCAGCAGCGGCGCTCCTTTCCTCGCAGGCGGTTCCGATTCCCGTGCTCTGCCCAGAGTTCCTTGGGGACCAAGATGGACCCTAAACGGGGGTTGGGGTTTAGGGTTTAGGGTTTAGGGTTTAGGGTTTAGGGTTTAGGGTTTAGGGTTTAGGGTTTAGGGTTTAGGGTTTAGGGTTTAGGGTTCAGGGTTTTGGGTTTAGGGTTTAGGGTTTAGGGTTTAGGGTTTAGGGTTTAGGGTTTAGGGTTTAGGGCCCATATACCTCAATAATAGGGTATATGACCCCAATTTTAGGGTTCATTTGGCCCCCCGAGGTTTGTGATGAAAGCTAGCGAGTCTCGCTTCACCATCGACATGGCGCACATCACCGGCCCTGTACAGTCCTTTCCGATCAATCTTCCAAGCGGGAAGAAAGCTCCTTGGGGGGCCAAAATGAACCCTAAAAGGGGTTAGGGGTCCATATACCTGTAAGAATAGGGATTGCAGTAGTATTGGGTATGTGACCCCAATTTTTCAGGGTTCCTTTGGTCCTCCCAGGTTCTCGAGGCCACTTCCCAACAGGGAGGCATGATCACCATCACTGACGTGGAGCAGCAGGCAAGGCGAATGATGATCCGAGCAAGCTCATCGGGCGGAAGACCGTTGTTCCTTGGAGCACCAAATTGAGCCCTAAAATTGGGGCTCGTGTAGACCCTCTACTACTACAATCCCGATTAAGTATATGAACCCTAAACCCTAAACCCTAAACCCTAAACCCGTTTAGGGTTCATTGGGTCCCCAAGGTTGACGATCTATGACGGTAGCGGCGCCTTCTTTGGCAAAGTCTCTGCAGATGGGAATGGTGTGGTTCTGAGCCTTGGGAAACCAAATGAACACTTCAAAGGGTTTAGGGTTTAGGGTTTAGGGTTTAGGGTTTAGGGTTTAGGGTTCATAGACCTTGATAGGGACGATAGTAGCACATGGCATGATAGCCCCTCAATCTTAGGATTCATTTGGCCCCCGAAGGTACAGCATGCAGAGTCCATGCGCCCTGATGAAGACCACCGATGTGGCGGGCTGCAGCGTGGAGTTTCAGACGCTCAAGGAGCCGCGCGCGATTATCGCGAGGACCTTCAAGACACCCGGCAGGCCCTTGGGAGCTGTCGTATTTTCCCTCATTGGGTTTAGGAGGATCATATTTCAAAGCCCTAAACCCTAAACCCTAAACCCCAAACCCTAAGCCCTAAACCCTAGAGGGTTTTTACGCATCCGAGGAAAGGGGAGGAACTTCGCGCCCAGGTCTCGGCAGACTACGATGGGATCTTGCTGATGGGGTGCGTCTTGGGAGTCATCCTCCTGCAGCCTGAGATGATGAAGATGGGCCTGTAAGGTTGGGTTTAGGGTTTAGGGTTTGGGGTTTGGGGTTTAGGGTTTAGGGTTTAGGGTTTTTGGTTTACAGTAAACTCCAAAAAGTTGGAACACCCTTATCCGCATAACCCCAAAGGTATGCTAAAGGGAATCCCAGCTCTAATCAGCCTTATACCATGTTCCAAATTTCTGGAGTTTACTGTAGGGTTTAGGGTTTAGGACTACCTTTCCCACTGTGGAAGGCCAAAAGCTGTGAGAATCGTGGCCAGTAAGAGCCACGTGCGAAGGAGTTTCCAGCTGCTTCATGTTGCGATGGAAAACTATATGCCGCTCGTCAGTGTTGCAGGGGACTAAGGGACGGACCCTTTTGTCAGGGACCTCAGCGGTTATTTGGGGTTATTTAGGGTATGTATATGGGGACAAAAGCCCTAAACCCTAAACCCTAAACCCGATATAAGGTATATGCAGGGGTAAAATGGGGGAATAAGATTGCAAGTCCCTTTGTTCCTTAACTCGGTAGCCCAGCGGTACCCTTTATCCCTGTTGTTCTATGGCTCACGGTTCCCTTCTAAAGTAACCAACCCTAGCACGAGTTGGAGATTTCCGGAAATTAGGGTACAGTATCTATTTTGGGGGTCCTTATACAGGAAACTCTACCAAATTTGGGGTATATAACCCTATAACCGTCAGCCTAAACCCTAAACCCGAAACCTTAAACCCGAAACCCTAACCCGAAACCCTAAACCCTATTGGGAAATTGCCAATTTGGGGTCAGCGCATGTGAGATTCCTGCAGAGGAGGTTCGCCCAGCTGTGCCAGAGCGAATCGCTTGAATGGAATTCCCCCCCCCGCCCCCCCCCCCCCCCCCCCCCCCCCCCCCCCCAAAAAAAAAAAAAAGGGAGCCCTTTTTTGGTTTCGGGTTTAGGGTTTTTGGGTTTAGGGTTTAGGGGTCAAACCTTAAAACCCCCAAACCTTAAGACCTAAACCTCCCAAGACCTTAGAGGCCCTCTTGCATTAGGGTTTTAGGGTTTCGGGTTTAGGGCTTAGGGGTCAAAACCGTAAACCCCCAAACCTTAAGACCTAAACCTCCCAAGACCTTAGAGGCCCCTCTTGCATTAGGGTTTTAGGGTTTCGGGTTCAGGGCTTAGGGGTCAAACCTTAAAACCCCCAAACCTTAAGACCTAAACCTCCCAAGACCTTAGAGGCCCCTCTTGCATTAGGGTTTTTGGGTTTCGGGTTTAGGGCTTAGGGGTCAAAACCTTAAACCCCCAAACCTTTAAAACCTAAACCTCCCAAGACCTTAGAGGCCCCCCTTGCATTAGGGTTTTAGGGTTTCGGGTTTAGGGCTTAGGGGTCAAAACCTTAAACATCCAGGCCTTAAGACCTAAACCTCCCAAGACCTGAGAGGCCCCCCTTGCACTTAGGGTTTAGGGTTTAGGGCTAATCGGGGTCAAAACCTTAAACCCCCAAACCTTTAAAACCTAAACCTCCCAAGACCTTAGAGGCCCCCCTTGCACTTAGGGTTTAGGGTTTAGGGTTTAGGGTTTAGGGTTTAGGGTTTAGGGTTTAGGGTTTAGGGGTAGCTGCAGGGCCGGGCGCCTACCGTGTGGACCGCGACCACCCCGAACACCCGGCTCCCCGGTCTTTTCTCTTGGCGGGGGGGGGGGGGGGGGGATGAGGGTTTAGGGTTTAGGGTTTAGGGTTTAGGGTTTAGGGTTTAGGGTTTAGGGTTTAGGGTTTAGGGTGTGCGGCTTAGAGCTTGGGGTTGTGCAGCCGCAAGTGGGTGTCACGAGCGGCTTCCTGGGTGAAGTCGGCGAAGCCTCGTTGGAGAAGGGTTTTCTGGCTTGCCGGGATTCGTGCTTTGTGGAGCCTGTTGCGTGTAGGGCCAGTGTAGGGTTTAGGGTTTAGGGTTGAGGGTTGAGGGTTGAGGGTTGAGGGTTTAGGGTTTAGGGCAAGTTTAGGGTTTAGGGCAAGTTAGGGTTCAGGGTTGAACATGTTGTAGGCCTTCAATGTCCTACATGGCTTGGGGGTGTAGAAGGGCTATCCTAAACCCTAAACTCCAAAACTCTATAAGCCCTAGAACACTAAACTCTCCATGGTCAGTTCTCTAAATTACGGTCCTTTTTTGGGGGTATCCTACACAGGAGGGGCCGACTTATATAAACAGGACACCCAAAAGGACGACAACTTAAGAACGTCACCAAATCCTAAACCCTACACACGAACCCGAAACCCTAAACCCTATATAACCCTAAACCCTAAACCCTAAACCCTGAAGAGCTGAGAATCACGACATGGGGACGAACGCCTTCGCCATTGGCTCCCCTAGCTATTCGCTCCTTGGATTCCACGGATCCAGAAATTGAAATTGGGGCTTAGGGTTTAGGGGGTCGTCACGGTTTAGGGTTTAGGGTTTAGGGTTTAGGGTTTAGGGTTTAGGGTTTAAGATTTTGGGTTTTTTGAGTTTTGGGTTTTGGATGTAGGGACCCTGCAATCCTAGACGCGGCATCCCTGTAAGTTTTCCAGCCCCTGAAATCGAGTCGAAGAAACAACAAAAAGTCAGAGCTAGTTGGGGACCCCACGTAAGCCTTAAGCCTAACGCGTTCTGGGGCGGGATGGGCAGCTGTTGTTGACCGACTCGTGTTCTAATGGCACAAAGGTTTGGGTTGGCTCTTCAATGACTCAAGCCCCAAGGGGTTCAGGGTTTAGGGTGTAGGGCCCTTAAGGGAGGGGGGCTCATGGGGGCAGGTACCTAGGGAACCTTAGGCAAGCTTAGGGAGTTTAAGGGAGTAGTGTGGGGTAGTAGGGAACCTTGGGTTGCATACCCTTGAACCCCCCTCCCTTCAGGACCTGCAGCGAGCCCCCCCCCCCCCCCTTAATTGTGGGTCTGTGGTCTTAGGGTGACAAGGTTGTTCGAATACTTGGTTGTGGGTCGACACTCTTCAGTACTTGGCGACGTCGGACGGCCACACACAAGAAGAGCGCGGTGTCAGAAACCTGAAGCCCTGCAAAAGCCCTTAACCCTATAAACCCTACAAACCCCTATCAAGCCCTGTAAACCCTACACCCAAAATGCCCTAAATTCTAAACCTTCTAAAGCCTTCACCTAAATCTACTACGTACCCCTAGTTGCCCTAAAAACCCTACACTCTGAATCTTAAACACTCTAATTCCGAAACCCTGAACAAAATGCCAGCATGGGGCAACGAGCTTCGTGGCGGGTTTCTGCCACCCTAAACCCTAAACCCCAAACCCCAAACCCCAAACCCCAAACCCTAAACCCTAAACCCTAAACCCTGTAAATCCTAAAGCCCCCTAAACTCGACCTCTCACGGAGGATGCCTCGTGAAACGCGCGTGGCACCGGATGGAGCCATGAAGGGCTCCGCGGCTCCTTCTGTTAGACTTCTCTTAGGTTTCTTTTTCAACATTGCAGGGTTTGGGGTTTAGGGTTTAGGGTTTAGGGTTTAGGGTTGAGGGTTTAGGGTTTAGGGTTTAAATTGAGGGTTGAGGGTTGAGCGTTGAGAGTTGAGGGTTGAAGCAGTCATTGAAGTTTGCGGGCCCGGATGGCCCTTATAGGGCCTTGCAGGACTCAAGGTTTCATGTCGATTCGGGTTTAGGGTTTGGGGTTTGCGGTTTAGGATTTGGGGTTTAGGGTTTAGGGTTTAGGGTTTAGGGACTTGTGGTCATGTACCCTACAAGGAAGGACCCCCTTCTAGTTATGAGTAGAGTGATGAACAGCACCCTAAATTGGGTCAGAAGGATCCTAACATAGGTTCAAAAAGTTACTATAGTAAGGGATCCTCTCCTTGCACACTACTCATACCCCCTGTTTAAGGTCTATGAACCCTAAATAAACCCTTTTAGCGTTCACCTGGTCCCCAAGGCAGTGCTTTATCACGAAACCTTACCTGGGTGTTTCCCCAAAATAGGGGTACCCTTTTTACACCCCAAATAACATAGAAGCTCCTTAAAGGGACGACCAAAAAGGGTACCCCCTATTTTGGGAAACCCCCACATGGCCCCCCGATGGCGCAGTCTTCCCCCGGCCATGTGCCTGCAAACGCCGTTGTGGCTATTACATGGTTTATGGTTCATAAACCTTAGTAGGGATTCTAGTAGTATAGGGTATGGTTCATATACCTTAGTAGGAATTCTAGTCATTACAAGGTTTTTTGTTCATATACCTTAGTACGTACTATAGAAGTATAGGGTTAGTGGTTCATATAAGTCATGCTTCAAGCCCCAAACCCCAAGCTCCAAACCCCAATCCCTAAACCCTAAACCCTAAACCCTAAACCTGGAGGGAAAAAACCCTAAACCCTAAACCCTAAACCCTAAACCCTAAACCCTAAACCCTAAACCCTAAACCCTAAACCCTAAACCAATTCCATGTTTTTTTTAAAGGTTCGGAGGCTTCTTTTGGGAGCCCCGGGGTTCAGCCTGTGAGCTCCACAGGAGCTCCCTCACAGGCCCGGGAGTCCCGAAGCCCAAAACCCTGAAACCCAAAAAGTCCTCATCGTTTAGGGTTTAGGGTTTAGGATTTAGGGTTTAGGGTGAAAAAACCTTGAAACTCTAAACCCATTTTCCTTGAGCCCTAAAACTCCAAACCCTAACGCCCGCAAGCCCCAAAACGCCCTAAACCTCCAAACCCTAAACTCCTAAACCCCAAGGCAGAACCCTAAGCCTCCAAGAAACCCAGGGATCTTCGAACCCTAAAAACTCCTAATCCCTAAGACCCAGAACCCTATAAAGCCCCTGAAGTACTAAAAACCATGGGAGGGTTGACGAAAATGTAGGGGACCCCCAAGATAACCCCCAAATAGTAAGATTCTCCCTTATTATAAGGACCCCCAATATTGTACCCCAAACCCTAAAACAAACCCTAAACCCCAGGGATCTCCTTGACGCCAAGCCGATCACAGATGTGCGAATGCGCCTCGCCGGGCCAGTACCCGGTGCCCAGGCCTGGGGAGGGGTTGACGTGATACTTACTATGCAAGGTTTAGGGTTTAGGGTTTG